AATCCTATAGCTATTTCCTCCTAAAGATCTCTCTAACCTGTTAACTTTTCTCTGCTATAACCGTCACCATCTTCTTCATACATCTACCAACCAAACACACTGTCTCTGATTTGGTTCTAACCCAACATGACCATTTAGGACGGAATAGATTGGCCCCAAAGGGTTCCCAAGCTTGTTAATTTCACAGGAGAAGGTGGCCCTATTGTTCTCCCTTAGAGCAGCTGGTGGGTCAAATTGCTGACTTTTCAATAAACAGCTGAGCGCTTAAATACCACACCATCTTTCACATGGGCTACTTCAAAATGTCTGGATTGTACTACTAGTGATAACTTTAGGTGTCTGTTCAATCTTTTTCTTTTCCATGTAAGTAGAGTGATTTAATAAAAATACAAATCTAGTTGTATAACTCTACCCTGATTCCTCGCTCAAAACCTTTCTTTGACGTCAAGCTGGTTTTAGGTAACGGTGATGCTCTGTCTATGGCCCATCAACCTTCATCTTGCACTGTGCTCCCACTCACTCCGTCTGCTGCTCCAACTGCTGTCTTTTTTCAGCCTTCTTACTTGTCATGTTCCCTCTGACACAGAAACCACATGCGCTATGCCTTTTGTTTGGAATATTAATTTCTCTCACTGCTTCAGATCTGTGTGTGTGTCATAGTTCACGGAAGCTGTTCCTGATATCCCTGAGTTAGTAGAAAAGGTTTTTTCATCCTCATGGAATCCTCACTGTCTTCAAGTCAGTTCCAATGTATGACACGTGGGGCACAGTATAATCGCCCCATAGGGTCTCCAAGGAGTTAGTATTTATCTGAATGGCGATACATCTTCTCTGGCAGAGTAGCCAGGGAGTTGAAACGGTTGACCTTTTTGATAAACAGCTGAGCACTTGAAACATTGTGCAACCAAGTACAGTTAAAGTTGCAATCTTATTTTAGGTCATTATTGTATTATCAATAACACTAAGCTACAAGCTCCAGAGCAGGGAATGCTTATGGTTTTGGTCATCATTATATTTCCAGTTCCTAGAAAAATCCTAGACATATATGTTGTTGTTATGTGCTGTTGAGTCAGAATGGACTCACACCTAACGCTCCAGTGGGGTTTCAGAGACAGTAAACTGCACAGGAGGTGACTGCCCATCCTTCTCTGTCAAAGCAGCTGGTGGATTAGAACTGTTTGCCTTTGGGATAGCTATGCAGCTTCTTACCACTAGACCAGTAGAGCTATAATTTTTTTTAAATAGGTAGATAGCATTTCTACTATTCAGTTATCTATTTTAGAAACTTAATTCATTAAAAAATTTTTTTTTACATTCCTACATTTTCCACCAAGTCTTATTCTACTTATACAAAACCAAACCCCAAATCAACTGCCTTTAAATAGACCTCTACCTGGCAACTCTCTTTTGGCATTTCAAGACTGTAAATACTGTAAACCCTATTCGAAGGTGAGGAGATTGTATCATCTTTCTCCCTGGGAGCAGCAGGTGGGTTTGAGTTGTCAGCCTTTCAATTAACAGCCCAACACTTAACCTACTACACCAGGTATTTCTCAAAGCAGTATCTTAGGTCAAGAAAGGTATTAGATTCCATCAATGACTTCTCAACCAGATTTCTTGGTCTTATATTATACTCTTATCTCCACCAGAAGCTCTGCTGGAGAAGGAGGGGCAATCTCGTCCTGTACCAGTCAGATCTGAGTTGACAGTACTCACACACAAAATAATAAAATTAAAAACCACCACCACCACCACAACCACCCACCCCAAATTATATTCTTGTCAGCCAACAGAGTGATAGTGATACAACATACCTATTGCAGTATTTTCTAGCTTATAGTTTTCAGTGGCTTATTGAGAGAGTTCAGAATAAATTTCTTTGATGCTATTAAAAATAAAATTCTCCTTGATTTTGATCTTAGATTCTTCTCCAGTCCTTTCAGAAAAGGCAGTAGATACTTGGGACCATAATGACTGAGGCTAAGGTTTACTGGTTGCCCTATGTATTAGGTATTATATTAAGAGTCATACATGTTACCTAATTTTAAGAAACTTTGAGATAGGTTTTATTGTTCCTTTTTATAAATGATTAATACAAATTTTAACTATTTTGCCCAAGGCCAGCCAGCTAGTAGGTAGTAGATGAAGTATCCAGTATACTAGAATCTTGCCTGCCTTTTCCAAGCTCTGTGCTATGCACCTTCACTTAGATGATATAAATGTCTCATCAGCAATCCTCTCTGTACTTCAATCTACAATAAGAAGAGCAGGTAAGAGATAGGCTGTGGTGTCAAAACTGAGCATAAATCTGGACTCTGCCAAGTTGTCTGTAAAGCGGGAATAAATGTATAAACCTCACAGAGCTTCGAGAAGTTATATGAGACTATGCAATTGGCACAAGGTTTAAATCCACCAGCTGCTCAGTGAGAAAAAGGGGTAATTCTCTGTGTGATTTACTGTTTCAGAAAATCAACTAGAGGGTCAGCCATGAGTCAGTTTCAGTACTGACAGAGATGATACACAAAAAAAAGAAGTGTATGCTAATCAGCAAATGCTTAAATAAATGAATGAGAATACTAATGAAAGAATAGTAGTCTTTCAAGTAGTCAATTTGATAGACATATAGTTGAACAAAGATAGGAGGCTAAAGAGCACATATAGTAGTACATGCTGGCTTTGGTTTGTAATTACATTGAATTTGAGCTTAAAGACAGCTGGTTGGGTGTTTTTTGTGGGAAATGTCATAGTGGAATTTATTTACAGCTTATTTTGTATATTTTTAAGTTGAGATTTTATTTTAAGTTCATAAAGAACTTGAGTTTCCATTCATTCATTGTTGCACATATTCCCCTCTGCTCCTCTTCCCCTCAGTTCACGTTTTTCTTTGGGAAAAAAGTGCTTTCATTGTTATACAGTATCAACCCCCCGCCCCAAGATCACTTTACTATGCAGCTCTCATACCAATAATATCTAATCATATATTCCCTTATACAGTTCTCTCCCTTATGTGTTTCAGTGCTGTATACATTATTTATCCCTTCTTTTCTTAGTTTCACCCCAAACCCCTGTCAGTCTTGTTTTATAACAGTGGCATTATATAGTATTTGTCTTTTTATGACTTAGATATTTCACTCAGCATAGTGTCCTCCATGGTCACCCATTTTGTATATTTCATTATTTCCTTGTTTTTCAGTGCTGCATAATATTCCATTGTGTGAATATAACAGTTTTCTCTATTCATTCATTTGTTGATGGGCACTTGCATTGTTTCCAACTCTTTAGTATTGTGAACAAAACTGCAATAAACATGGGTGTGTGTATATATATATATGCACTTGGGTGGCAGTTATAGTTTCTTTAGGTTAAATTCCCAGTAGTGTAATTGCTGGGTCAAATGATATTTCTATTTGCAACTTTTTGAGAAAGCGTCATACTGCTTTCCATAGTGGTTGCACCACTCTACACTCCCACCAGCAGTGAATAAGTGTTCCAGTTTCTCCACAACCTCGCCAATTTGTTGTTTGTAAAGACAGCTGTTAGAGTGGACATACTCTTTAATGACACAAGGGACACAAATCTAATGACACAAATCAGTATAAAGTCCAAGTGGGCTGTACTTGAAACTGAGAGAAACAAAATGCATATGTTAAAGGGTTCCTGAGAAATATATAATGGATAAGGACCAATGGAATTGGCATTAAAAATTTCAACACCTGGCAGATAAAAATATTTCCATGTTATTGCAATGATGAATAACACTGCTATGGACATTGCTGTACAAATCTCCATTGTGTCTCAGTTTTAATTTTCTTGAGATTACATTCCTAGTAATGGAATAGCTAGGTCATACAGAGTTTCTACATTCAGCTTTTTGAGGAAATGCCAAACTGCCTTCTAGAGTGTTTATACCATTTTACAGTTCCAACAGCAGTGTATGAGAGTTCTAATCTCTTCACATTCTCTCCAACATTTATTGCTTGCTGCCCTGCTAAACTTTACCACTGATACTGAGGTTAGATAGTATCTTATTGTGGTTTTGATTTGCATCTCTCTCATTAGCAGTGATGTTGTGCATTTCTTCATGTTCTGTTGGCCTTTCAAATGTTTTCCTTTGTGAAAAGACTTTCCAGGTCTCTTCCCCAATTTGTAATTGAGTTTCCAGTCATTTTCCTCTGGAGGCCCAGGTATATTTTGTACACTTTTGTTATGAGAGCTTTGTCTGAAGTGGTATTGTCAAATATTTTTTTCCCAGGTGGTAGGTTTTCTTTTCACCCTGTTGGCACAAGTTTTTTATGCACATGGGAATATAATATTTAGAAAGTCCCACTCATCAATTTTATCCTCTCCAGATTGTGCATTTCTGGCTGTATTTGTCAGCATCTTTATACCATAGGCTAGGCCTTTTAAGCTTGGTACCAGATTATGCAAAGTGGACTGAGTATCATAAGGACAAATAGTGCCTAAGACAATTATTGTAAAAATAGAAGGATAACTAGTAAATTGTGTATGAGATCCAAGTGAGAAAGGGATGGGAGCAGAGGAGTGAGAATTAGTAGGGGCAAAATTACAGTGTTGCACAATTTGGTAGGTGGAGGGAAGAGGTAAAGGAAATGGGAAATATCTGTCAGGTAACTGAAAACACTGGATAATGGTAGGCACAGTCCAATGGTGATAAATTTTATAAAGCACAATATATGTGAATAATCCTATGGAACACAATTCAATGAAGGAAAGGAGGGAGGGTGGAAATCAGCATAGTAAAAAATTGTTTTTAAACAATTTCCATGACAGCAAATAAAATATAGCTAGCATATTATGAAAACAAAATTCCAAATATATTTTTATCTAAAACCATAGATTGCCTATGGCCTTGTGGCCACAATCATTCCATCCTCTTTTTGATTAATAAACTATTCTTTGCCTTTTGGAGAAATCTTAGGGAGGTTTCAATCAGAATAAATTTAGAGGCTAACTTTCCCCACTTTGTAACTGTATTTCAGTGTATGGAAACCAAAATGCTGCAAAAAAAATCTGGAATACTGCGCAGTGAAGGTGCTGATGAAAATACACTTCCTCAATTGGCTGCAACAATCATTGCTTTGTCACTCCAAAATGTTTGTCTGGGGCAAACAAACTTGCCTTCCTCAGACTATTTTACAGAATATATTTTCAGTTCTTTGAATAGGACAAATACTCTCCATCTATCAGGTAAGGATCTTTTTCATGAATTTTACTCCCAAGACACATCTAGTCCACAAGCTGTGCCAAAAGCCAAGATTGACCAATGCTAGGTATGCTCGGTGCATCTGAAACATTATTTTCTCTTGACATGGAATGAGAAAGCAGAGCTGTTGGTGGCTCACTTAATTTCTCATTTGAATCCCAGGAACTCCTTTTATGAGGCCAATAGAACTTCAGCTTACACTATGCTCCTACTTATTCCATCTGTTCCAACTAACTGCCTTCCTCCAGACTTTCATCTCATCCTGCTTGGTCAGGACATCTCATGTGCAGCCACCATCCATTCATCAGTGGAGGCTTGCACACTGCTGTAACAATGAACCAATCTCAGAGGGGTGCGTGGGCTAAAAGATAGATTAGGAAGAAAGGTCTGGTGATCAAGTTCTAAAAAATCAGCCAGTGGAACGCAATGGAATCTTTCTCCAGTTGATCATGGAGTTGGCACAAGAGTAAGTAGTCTTTTCTGTTGTCATTGGGCCAACTCCGTGACAGCTAACATGAACAATGACAAGAGAGCTAAAGTGACTTTTTCCAAAGATACTATGGCGTCTATGTGCAATGAAACACAATCATGGACTTTGTCTATGTGGCAGTGACTGTGAAATTGTGTCTGCGAAGCCTAGCAGGGTCACTTTTCATGACCTGCCATGAGTACTGATATATCACTCATATCGCATAACATATCACTCATGTACTTACTCTCACTGTTGTTAATTTGGAACAGATATCTGACTCTGCAGTGAGTTTTCAGAGGCTATAACTCACATAGGTGGAGAGTGTCCATCTTTCTCTCTCAGAACCACTGGTGTATTTAGACCACCTGCATTTGGGTTGGCAGTGCAATTTCCTACCACTAGGCCATGAGCGCGCCTTGCCTGACATATACAGTGCTGGGTGAAATACTGCACAGAAAGATGAGACAATATTCCAAATGGCAGAGGAGGTCTGGTAGCAGTTTGCTTATATTCTTAAAAGCAAGGCATTCCATTTTAAAGAAAACAATATGAAAATATCCACACCTTGGTGATATAGTGATTAAGCACTTGGCTGTTGACTGAAAGACTGGCAGTTCAAACCCAACAGCTCCTCTATGGGAGAAATAAGTGGTATCCTGGTTCCATAAAGGTTACAGCCTCGCAAACCCTATTGACAGTTCTACTGTGCCTTACAGAGTGGGTAAGAGACAGAATGAATTTGATAGCAAAGGGTTTGGTGCCACATTCCTGACTGCTACCGGTTAAAGTGAATGCCAGCACCAGGATACACATTTCTTTGTGTTTGACCAGGCGATTGAAAGTGAAATAGGCTCATTTTTCCCCCAGCAAAGTAATTTTGTTTTCTAATACACATATACATCCAATGTGCTTATTTTATACATCTATTGACAAATGACTCCTAAATTGTTTAAATTACAGCCATTTTGATATAAGTAGGTGGTCTTCACCAGGATATGAAAAATGTCTTCTGACAGTATTCTACACAGAAAGAATCTGTCACAGAAGAACGCTTTAGATTAGTCTGATCAATTGAAAGCTTTGAAAAGCTAGTACCTTTGCATGTAATTTTTCCAGATGAAAATAATGCAGCAGTATCAGCTTGTATTCCTGAGAAATTGCATTAGTTTTACTGGTGATGGAACCACATGTTCACATCTGCTGGTATCATACAGGTAGATTCACACGTGGTGGTAAAGCATCCCCACTGGCTTTGGCAGCATCTGGGTCTCACTCGAAGGGGCTCTCAGACACTGTTGTGTACATGCTACTGATTCCTTTCCCATCCGTCTTTGTAGTCACCAGTACTTTCCAATGGTCATGAGTGCTTTTAATAATATGAGTTGCAAAACACTTATCTTTAAATTCTGCATGGAAAGCAAACTGGTTCTCTGGTTTTCCATCACGAACCTTGTATGGTAGCTTCCAGGTAGCCAGGCTTTAGCTGTTTGACATCATTAATATCATTATAATTGAAATGGGTCCTTTGAAAAGTCTGCTTCAAAACACCCTGCTTCATACATTCCTGGAGTGCCATGTAACAGCTGGTGCTGGTGCTGACAGCACTTCCTGGTGACAATCATGCACAAAGGGAGAAGAGGATTTACTAACCAGTGAAACCAACCCGCTGCTGTGGAGTCAGTTTGGAATCATGGTGAAGCTCCACTGGGTTTCTTGGGCTGTAAATCAAATCTATGTAGGAGGAGACTGCCCATTTTTCTCCCACAGACCAACTGGTGGATTAGAACCAGTGACATCAGCTGTTCAACACTTCATGCACTATGGCACCAGCCTTCCCTAGGACAAGGTATATTTATATACATACTCAGTGCTGTTGAGTCAGAACTGAGTCAAAGCTGACCCTCCAGTGGGTTTTTGGAGGCTGTTAATTGCGCAGGAGGAAATTGCCCATTTTTCTCCCAAGGAGCTGCTGGATTTGAATGACCAGAGAAACACTACCTTTGGTTTAGCAGTACAACTCTCTGTGGGCTAAGTCAGCAGAACAGGTATAAGGGATTGTTGTTGCTGTTGAAACGACTCTGATTCATAGTGGCCCTATGGCCAAGAGATGTAACTCTGCCCTGTCCTCCACCATTCTCACTGCCTCTAATACGCTCCAGGTCATTGTTAAAGTCACTGTGTCAGTCCATCTTGTTGAACATCTTCTTCTCTTTCACCGACTCCACCTTTCCATAATGTCTTTTTCCAAGTACTGGCGAGATAAAGTTTCACCATCCTTGCCTTTAAGAAACACCTTAGTTGTGTTTCTTCCAGGACAGACTTCTTTGGTTTGATTTTTGGGGGATAGTCAGTACTCTTCTCCAACATTACAGTTCAAAGACATAGACCTCTAAATTTACCAAGAGCCCAACAATCCCTCATGAATTTGCATAAGCCGCTCAACTCTGTAAGAAGGTATTGAGATTTCAGAATTATATAATTTGAATGAGCCTTCTTGGGAATTGTTTGCATAGCAGATCAATTGATGACTGTGTTTTATTTCAGTTGACTTTTTTTTTCCTGTTAAAATGAAACTTGAAATGAAGTTGTATCATGTCAGCAAGCTGTCATAACCAGAAATTAAGTGAGAGGAAAGGAAAGCATGTTATGTTGATAATAATTTTGGAGTTGGGAGATTTAGTCCTTAAGTGATTGGATGTTGACAGTACAGTTTCTATATTAACTTTCACCATGCATGTGATTTCACTTTTTAAAGTAATATGAAAATGCTTGCTACCTAAAAATGGATTACTCTAGTAAATAAAAAGGAAAAGAATAAAATCCAACCACGGCTCATGAGTAATAGCCGATTCCCCAGTGAGTTTTCTGAGGCTTTATGTTGCATGGGGAAAATTGTCAGTTTTTCTCCCTCAGAAAAGCTGGGGGACTTGAACTGCCAGAGAGACACCACCTTTGGGGCTTAGCAGCACAACTCTCTACAAACTACAGCATCAGAATCCACTTAGAAATAGGGACATACAAAGGGTGTTGTTAGAGGCAGGGTGTGCTATCTACTCAATGTATGTTGTCTCTAGATCACCATGGTGCTCATAGATCACCATGAACCTTAATTTAAAAGCTCAAATAATTGCTCATGAGAGATGTTTGGTATTAATTGGGCAGAAATCAGACACAGTGTTATTATGTGCTGTTGAGTCTCTGTGACTCATAGTGACCCTATGTACAATAGCTCTGAACCTTATCTTATCCTGAGCCAATTTAACTGTCTCTGACACACCTACTCTGTTACCCCAGTTACTGTGACAATCCATCTCATCTAGGGTCTTCCTTTCTTGCCCTATCCCTCCACCCTTCCAAGCATGATGTCCTTTTCCAAGGACTAGTCCCTCCTAGCCATGTGCTGAAAGTATATGAGGTGGAGCTTCACTTGACAGTTCAGAAATCCATTTCAGAGTGGTGCCAGCTCAGAACTTATCTCTATACAATTAGAACTTATTCCAGAAGTCATGAGGCATTTTCTGAGCTGATGAAACCATAATGTCGCTCATTGTGGTTTTGGGCATGAAGGAAATGGGTGCTTCCACACCCCTTTCAAAAATATTCCTGTTGTGAGAATTCTTATTTTAATATTGTTAATGGTTTTCATGTAATAATTCCTTTACACTCTATTTCATCAATACATTGCATTTATAGAATCTTTCACTGACATTATGTTTCATAGTCATTCATATACATTCTAGTTTACATTTTTTTAAAATAGGTTAATTTACAAAGTTTATAAGCACTGTGTTTCATTCTACTCTTCATTCACATTGAGATGCACACAATAATGTTCATACATTATATTTTATAAAATCAATTGTTAGGAGAATTCTTGACTGTAAACAAAAGTAGAGATAATAGTAAAACTCCCAAGTGTATGTTACACATTTATTTTTACCCTTTTACTCCTACCATTTAATTATTTTAAGTAAGCAATCACTCTATAAGTATGTATGTATCAATCTCTAAATATTGTCCTTGTTATTGTTAAGTCCTTTCAAGTCACCTAAGACTCATGGAGACCCTATGACTAGCAGACTGAAATCTTGCCCTATCTTGTACCGTCTTTACAATCTCTGCCATATTTAAGTCTCTTCTCTAAAAGAAAATGTTTAAAAATAACCCATTTTACACTCCCACCAACAGTGAATAAGGGTTCCAGTTTCTCCACGACCTCACCAGCATTTGTAGTTTGCTGCTCTGTTGAATTTTGCTATTGTTACTGGGGTGAGACGATATCTCACAGTTGTTTTGATTTGCATCTCTTTTAGAGCTAGAGATTTTGAACATTTTTTCATGTGTTTGTTTGCCATCTAAATGTCTTCTTTGGTGAAGTGTCTGTTCATATCCTGTGCCCATTTTGCAATTGGGTTGTTTACCTTTATCTTGTGGTGTTCAAGTTTTCTATAAATTCTACATATAAGTCCCTTATCAGACATGTCATTACCAAATATTTTTCCCACTCTGTAGCTTCCCTTTTTACCCTGTTGGGGAAGTTTTTGGATGTGCATAGGGATTTGATTATTATTACTTTTTTAAAATGCTCTACTAGTTTGTTAGCTTGGAAGGAGGAGTCGCATCCACTTCCATAATAGCTTGCCTCTGGAAACCCTATGAACCTAGAGAGAGGATGAAAGGCACCCAAGCATCGAGGACTCTCTTTCACAGGGTCGCAATGAGTCGCCTGCGACTCGACAGCACTTAACACCACAACAACAACTAGTTTGTTGGCTTTCTGTTTGACCCAAGTGGGTGGCAGTAGACGAGGTGTACTTGCGAGATGAGTTGGGGTCTCTGGCCCAGAGCTTGACAGCGTTTGGGCTTGCTGGAATGGTAAAATTCTTAAATGCTTGGCCATGCCTAGAGGATAGGGTGAGGGTCTCTCCAGAGTCTCAGTGTCAGCTGGATGGATGCACGCAGCCTCTGGAGCCTGGAAGAGTGAGAGAGGTAACTTGTGGTTGCTGTGAAGCTGAACACTGTGACACCAATGTGTCAAATGCGATAATGGTTACTCATGGTGGACAGTGTTTGGTGGGGCTCCCCAGTTGAAACAAGCTGGGAAGCAGGAGTGGCACCCACTTCCGTAAATAATTTGCCTCCAGAAACCCTATGACCTGGAGAAAGGATGAAAGTCACGCAAGTGTGGAGGACTTTAGTTCATAGGGTCGCTATGAGTCACCTACAACTTGACAGCCCTTAACAACAACTAGTTTATTTATAATATTCAAATACATTGTTTTCAAGAACAAATTCTTTCAATATCCCTCATCCCTCCACCCAACAAATTGTACAACCCCATGATTAATCCTCCCTTCCTCTGCACATCCTCATCCCTCTGCTTCTATGCTCTCCCACCCCTCCTGGATCCTTATACTCCTTCTATAATAATGGTTTTATACAATATTTATCTTTGTGGGACTGAGTTAGTTCACTCAGCATAATGCTCTCCAGTCCCTCCCAAGTTAGATAATAATTTACAAAATAATTGTTCCTGTGTGCTGCATGGTTTTCCATTGTGTGAATATACCATATTTCTCCATTCATTCGTTTGTGGTTGGACATTTGGACTGTTTCCATGTTCTTGTGATGGGGAATAATGTGGCTATGAACACTGGTGTACAAATCTCTGTTTTTACCTCGGTTCTCATATTCTCAGAGTATATTCCAAGTAGTGGAATAGCTGGGTCTTTTGGAATTTCTATGTTCAGCTTTTTGAGGAAGCATCAAACTGCCTTCCAGAGTGATTGTACCATTTTACAATCCCACAATCAATGTATAAGAGTTTCTTTCTCACCACATCCTCTCCAACATTTATTACTTGCTGCCCTGTTAAACTTTGCCACTGCTTCTGAGATGGTACCTCATTGTGTCTTTGATTTGCATCAGTTTTATTGCCAGTGATTTGGATAACTGCAATTCCAGAACATGAGAGTGACAGGGAAATCACTGAGAAGACTGAAGAGGGATTTGATTCTTAGAAGGTCCCATTCATTTATTTTATCCTCTCCTGGTTGTAGGTTTTTCAGGATGCTTAGAAGACTGTTCATGTTGTAGATTTGGGCTTCTAGAAGTCTTCCAAGCTTTTTCCTAATGAAGTTTGTAGTCCTTCGTTTTAGTTCTAGGTCCTTGATCCAATTTGAGTTGGGTTTTGTGTATGGTATGAGGTGTGGCAACATAGGTGCTTTCTCAAAAAGTTGGAAATAAAAATATCATATGACTCAGCAATTCTACTACTGGGAATACATACCTTAAAAAAACCCAGCACTGCCACCCATGCAGATATATGCTCACCCATGTTTATTGCAGCTTTGTTTACAATAGCAAAGGGATGAAAACAATCCAAGTGCCCATAAACAACTGAATGATAGTAAAGCTGTGGTATTTTCACACAATGGAATACTATGCAGCACTGAAAAACAAGGAAATAATGAAATGTTATACAAAATGGGTGACCCTGGAGTGAAATATCTTAGTCACAAAAGGACAAATATTGCATAATGCCACTGCTATAAAACAGGACTGACATCAGGGTTGGGGAAAAACTAAGAAAAGAGAGGATAAATAAGATACATTGCATGGAAAAAGACGAGGGAAAAAAACTGCTTAAAGGGAATATATGGTTAAGTATTATTTATATGAAAACAGTCCAGAATAAGAGCTGCATAGCAAAGTGGACTGTGGTGGAGGCGGAGAATTGTGCTACAATGATTTTTTTTTTTAAAGAGAAAAGTGAACCAAGTGGGGAAGGGAGGAAAAGGTGCAACAATGAATGAATGAATGAATGGAAATCCAAGTTCTCTATAAACTTTCATTAAAATATCAATTAAAAAATAAATAAAATAACCCATTACCAACATCACAACTAAAAAATATCCAACAATTCTTCCTGTAAGATTTTAAAAGTCAATGTTCTTAATCCCTGATTTTAAAAAGTTTTCATTTTTTATTGAACCATGATCTGGATACAGTCCATAAAATACAAATAAGTGGTCTATATTTTAAGGTTTTGTGCTGGGGACTTCTTTCTTTTCTATTTATTTTATATTGATTTGCTCACAAAATCTTTTTACATTGCATTTCACAATATTCTTCATTCATATTGTGTTTCATATAAGAATTCCCATGCGTTATCTTTTATAAAATAAATTATCATTGGACTTTGCCCATAATTAGCTAGGTACTTTTTTAAAAAAAAACTTTTTACTTTTTATTGGTTTGCATGCAAAATTTGCATATTAATGTTTTGTTTCTAAACACTGTGTTTCACATATTCCTCTATTCACATTGTGTTTCATAGAATCATTCCCATATATTTTGTTTTATAAAATCAATGACCTTGATCTATGCTTACCTTTACCCTATCTTTACAGGTTCCATTGGATCTTTCAAAATTCCTTCACCCCCTCCTTCTGCCCACCAAACTCTTTGGCCTTGTGATTTCCCCCTCTTCTTCACCCTTAGCTATCTTCCTCCCTCCCCTTCCCCTTTTGGACTTTTTGTATAAATCTTACTAGTAATCCTCCTATTTTTACAATGGTCTTATGGAGTATTTGACTTTATGAGCCTGAGTTAGTTCACTCAACATACTGCTTTCCATCGTCTTTCATGTTATATAGTGTTTTTCGAAATTGTTGCTTCTGAGTGCTGCATAGTATTCCATTCTGTGACTTTACCACAGTTTCTCAATCCAGTTGTTTGTCTATGAACACTCCAGCTGTTTCCATTTTCTTGTTATTGTGAATAATGTTGCTATGAACATCAGTGTACGGATCTGTATTTGTGTTTCGGTTCTATTTTCTTCAGTGCATATTCCTAGCAGTGGAATAGTTGGGTTGTGTGGGATTTCTATGTTCAGCTTTTTACAGAAATGCCAAACTGCCTTCTTTTATAGATTCTATTACCCTTTTGTCTTTTTAGTTGATATTGTTTTTAAATAATAGTAGTTTGTTTACTTTCAGTTTTGCTGATTGTATTCTCAGTTGTTTAGTATGTTCTTCTGTGCCTTGTATTTCATGTGGTATGCCTATTACATTTTCAGGTTTCTTACTTGGCAATTTAGTTTTATAACTGGTACCTTATAGCAGAAGGGGTATAATATCTTACTGTCTCTTATTAAGATGTTATAAGCTATTGAATAGTTATTTTATTGTTTTTGTTGTTATTATGTGTCTTTGAGTCATAATGGACTCATAGATGACCTTCCAGAAGGTTTTCCAAGGCTGTAAATCATATGGGAGGGGATTATCTATATTTCTCTTGTGAACAGCTTGTAGATTTGAACTGTATGCCTTTGGGTCAGCAGCACAAATCCTAATTCAGTAGGCCACCAAAGCTCCCTATTATTAATATAACAGTCTTGTAATGGACAAACATCCCCATGTCAGTGAAAGAAAGGAAGACCCTTAAAGAAAGAATTGAGACTAAAAGTAACTATATAGATTGTTCCAATGGTATACAGAGATATTTTTAAATTCATTTGAACAGCTGCAATAGTAAATAAATATAAAGTAGTACTAGAATTCATTCAACTAATATTTCAGATTTGGGTTGTTTATTTTCTTTTTCAGTTACAAAATCTTCTACAATAAATGTCACAAGCAAATGTTCTTTTTCATACTTGTTTACTTACTCAGTATAAAACTTTGACTTTTCACTAGAATCATATTTGTTTTCTAAGATATCTGTGCTGTGGCCTCATGAAATTGTGATTATCCTAAAGTTGATCTGTATTTTTTTTGTAATGTTGGATTTTGTCATATTTGAAATTTCTAGAACTAGACCAACTCCTCAACACTCTCTGGACCAAAAGTACCTGTTATAAAAGGGATACAATCTATCAGCCTCAGATAAAACAACTCCCCACACCAGCTCATCATCACGACAACCAAAATCTATCTCTAGCCATCGACAAAGAATCAGGAGCTGATCCAGTTTCCTGGGATCAGGTATTGCTATTAATTCCCTTGTACCATTATTTACTGTTGTCAAACACAAGGTGTGAAAGTTTCATAAGAGTTACAGGAAATATAAAGAATAATGTGCATTTTCTTAAAAATATTTCTACAATGTGGCTATGGTTTTCTTCTTTTACATGTGAAATCTCTCTAGGTATTAACACAAAGCCAAAATATTTAGGAGAATACCATATATTGTTTTTTCTCTTAAGTCTATGTTGCATGCATGGATAATTAGTTCAGCAAACACATTATTTTGCATATGCAAGTCATCACCTTGTATTCTGGGGCGTTAAGGGTATAAAGTTGAGTAAAAATTGGAAAAGCCTTTATTAAGTGGAGAAGATCATTGCATAAAAAAATCACAATGATAATGAACCCTGTAAGCTTAGATTAAGAAGCGATTTATTTGAGCTGTGAGCAATAGAGAAATATTTGTAAAGTAGGTAATATTGGGAAAAGTTTTTGGGAAAGATGACATGTGTACTTGTAGACATAGTAGCCAAATTCATGTATCTTATACAAATAATTTTGATATAAATTGTTATGTAATATAAAAGTTAGGTTCATTGTTGCTTGAAATGAGATGTTACAGTCAAATAAGTTTGAGAAAAACCAGAGAGTGACAATATGCTGTAACAGATAAAGATCCATTGGGTGGTTGAATCTTAGTAAATCAGCTTTTTGCAAGCTTTGATAATAGAATCCTTCTCTGCCCTCAAAAGGCTGAGAAATTAATGCTCCATAATACAGTTTATGTTATTAGGTACTTTCTTCATGCCATATATTGCCCTTAATATTTATTACTTCATGTAATTATTAGAGAAACGATATGAAGTTGCTGTCGTTGTTAAGTGCCATCGAGTCACAGGTGACTCATAGCGACCCTATGAAGAAGAGTCCCCGACACTTGGGTGCCTTTCATCCTCTCTCCAGGTTCATAGGGTTTCTGGAGGCAAGCTATTATACAAGTGGATGCCACTCCTCCTTCCAAATATGAAGTTAGAATATATTAATTATCTTATAAATGAGGACATAGAGGCATAAAGCTAATAAGTAATTTCACAATTCCCAGAAGTTAGGATTATTTATATGGGTTGTCTGATAGCAGACTCTGGTTCTTGACAAGTATGACATTGTTTGGAAAATGTTGGTTTAAATAAATGAAGAATTATTTTCTTACTTATATCTTAGATGAAAAATAGTCCTATAAAGCATAATTTAAATCTTTAAAAAGTGACATTTCCTTAAGATTCCTAACAGCACTGACTGTTTTTCCTACACATCATGATTGAACAGTACCACATATTTTTGTTAATAGATATTTTTAAAGTGAAATAATAGAAATTATTTCTTCCATATATGCTGTTGTTGTTGTTCTTGTGTACCTTTGAGTTGGAACCGACCTATAGCTGACCCTCCAGTGGGCTTTCAGAGGCAGTAACACAGGAGAAGATTGCCCAATCCTTCTCCTGCAGAGCAGTTGGTGGACTCGAACTGCGTATCTTCAAGGATTGCAGTTCAGCTTCTTGCTATCTAGGCCACCAGAGCTCCCTTCTCCTATATATATGTGACAAGAAATCTTCTAGGACTAATTCTTTCAAACTCATGCTTGTGACATTCAAAGAAGATAATAAAAGTTACCCCTTCCCCAGATAAGATTTGCCTGTGAATTTTCCTTAACGTTTTTGTAGGACCAGCTTTCAGGAATAAAGTCAATGTGCCTGGTAATGACCCTGAGTGAAGAAAGAATAGAAGTTATTTCATAAAGTTTAGGTTTATTTACACAAAGCATGCATTTTCCAAGAGTACTAATGATCATTTTCAGTGCTTCCTCTTCCATGATTCTTCATCATATCTAGAGATGCTACTTTTCCTATGATTCTTAATTTGCTCCTGGAAAGGGAGCCAGAACTGAGGAGACTTTCCACACCACAGAGCACAGGAGTTTTAGGAGCATGTTTTCTGCATCACCACCACCACCACTGCCAGCACCAGTGCCATCACCTAAGAACCTGTGGAACAGAACATTTTCAAATCTTTATCAACTGAATTAGACACTCAGGATATGAAACACAACATTATTTTTTTTTTTAATTTGCTCTCCATGTGACCCTAGAATATACTAAGACTTGAGAATGACTGCTTTATAATATAAGAGCTCTAGTGGTATATATAGTAAGGAGCTCTGGTGGCAGAATGTGCAAGTGATATATTGGTGGGCTGCCATCTAAAAGATCAGTGATTTAAACTCACCGTCTACTCCATAGATAAAAGACCTTCAGATTTTCATACTATAAGCATTACAACCCAGAAACTTTGGTGGCCTAGGGTAACATGTCTGGCTGGTTAGAATTCAGCACACCCTCTGTGTGTGAGAGAGAAGCAATCTTCTGAGTGATTGTAAGCCTTGTGAACTCAGCAGATGGTTGATATACATTGGAATTGACTCGAGAGCAGTGAGTTTGGTTTGGATTGGGTGGCATATAGTAGGTTTGGTGTTTTTAATCAAAAGGTACGGACTCCACTCGCAGCCCTGTGAGAGAATAATGAGGCAGTCTCTTCCCACAAAAATGCATAGTCTCAGATCCCTGATGGAGGATTGCTGTGAGCGGAATCAACTTGACCACAGTAGGCTGGCAGTGATGGTGAATGTACCCTTGTAAAAGGAATGGACCTGGGGGAGGGATTGTAAAACAATGTAAGAATTTTCCTTTTACTTTTCCAAGAGGATAGTGTACTAGGGAGAGGTTTGGGAGGGGAGAAAAGTGCAACAATGAATGAATGGAAATCCAAAATCTCTGTAAATTTTCATTGAAATTAATAATGTTGTGTTGTTATTGTTGTTATGTGCCGTGGAGTTGCTGGTGACTCATAGCAACCCTATGAAAAAAGAAAAAGGAATATTTTGAAGTTTAACATACACATTTTTAAAGGCAAAAATTAGTGATGGGATAATTTACAAGTTTTCTTTCATTTCCTTCTATTTTAAAAAGTTTTCAGCCAAAGTTTTCTAGAATATAATGATTCATCTTTAAGGACATTTGGCTTAGTAATTTAAGAAGAAATAAAACACAACAGTGATCTAAATAATACAGGATCAACTAACAAAAGTCAAGGGCATGCAACTTGTAAGAGAATAACCTTATCCTACAAGAAGTTTTAAATTTATATTATAGTGACACAACTATAAATGAATCCTTTACAATAAGTTGGGTAAAGAAGTAATGCATTCTAGACATACGTGTCTTTCTACTCTTTGACTTTCTAGTCAAGCATTTCCCAGTAAGATTTAATTAGGAAGGATTAATCATAATATTTTGTTGCTAATTTATCTTTATTTTTACTAGTGCTTTTAATAATGTACTTATGTTTCATTAGTAGGAATTGATTCAAAAGAAAGAAATGTCTTCAGCACAAATTATTTCATTTTGAGGAAAAAAAATCACAAGTTAGTCATCTGGCATTGTTTTTTTTTTAACAATATTTGTATACACTGTGCTTTGTTCATGTACTTTGTGCTTTTTATAGTGGGATAGTTTTGGAGTTCTTGCCCAATCAGTATCTTTTGAGAATTGCCTTCTTTATCAATAGGAGTGAGGACAATAGTCATGTTTGTGAATATTTATGGGCAAAACTAACAGTAAGGTAAAGAACTGATTCAAGGAATACCAATTTATGACTGCCCTAATATCTTATTCCTAATATCTTTGAGATATCACTTTAGAATTATTCTATGCAACCAAATAATTTTTTTCTAAAAGCCTTCAACTCATAATGCCAAAATATTCATGTCACTGTTATTCTCTGAAGAAAAATGTGTCTTAATTGCTGTTGTTAGGCACCGTAGTGTTGAGTATGACTGATAACTACCCTATGGGCAGCAGTTTTGTGCCCTGTCCTACCCTGGACTAGATATGCCCATTCTGTATCGCAACAAGTTAAACGAGCTTTTTTAAGTTTCTGATTTTAGAAATACATTTTTTATTGTAACTAAACATAACAAAATGGTAGTGAAAATATATACTATCTTTAATTACATATTCGAAGTTTAAATGTAAATTTTTGCATATGAAAGAGCAGTCCTTAACATGGAAAAATGCTTTGTGACAATTTTAAGAGACTGCTGCATTTGTTGTTTATTTATCATTCTCTTATAAATACGCCAGTAAGGTCTGGGGAGGGGGCGAGGGAATGTAGTTTAAAGGCAGCAAAATTAGTAGACAATTATGTGCTGTCAAGTCAGAACCAACTCATAGCTGGCCTACCAGCAGGTTTTAAGAGGTAGTTAAAACAGATTTCAACTATTTTTATGGAGGGGAAAAAAATTAGCCAAAGCCTGAAACTTTGGGATTGACTTTTAGTCGACCCTCTAGCAGGTTTTCAGGGACTAGAAATCTCAAGGGAGGTGATTATTTTTCTTTCTTCTATGGAGCAACTGGTGGATTCAAATCACCCAGAAGCACAGCCTTTTTTGTTAGAAGCATAATTCCCTATAGACTATAAAACCAGAGCTCCTTATTTTTATTTTTTATTTGTTTACTTTTTTTAAAAAAAGGAGAAGGGATGCCTATTGATGTTGTTGTTACGTGCTGTTGAATCACCTGTAACTCATAGGGATTCTATGTACAACAGCTCTGAAGCCTGCCCTGTCCTGAGCCAGTTTTCCGGACTTTGACACAGCTCCACCCATTACCCCAATTAAAGTGTCAATCCATCTCATCATCCAGGGTCTTCCTCTCCTGTGCTGTACCTTTTAGTTGTATATAACTAACTTTCAAAAACTAACTTTACTTTTATGACTTGAAAATGCATGTTCATTACCGGCATTGGTGAATATACAACGCACTGCCAAATATAAAGAAACAAATCTGTATGAAAAATAAAAATGTAGCAAGAATGCTCCTTAGAAATGAAGATGGCCAGATTTCATCTCCCTGTTTTGGTCTTGTTATTAGAAAGGACTTGTTTCTAGAGAAAGACATTATTCTTGATATAGTAGATTGTCATAAAAAAAGAGCAACATTCACAAAAAAGATAACTGACACAGTGACTGCAGCAATGGATTCAAGCACAGCAGTAACTGAAGATGACTTAGAACAGGGCAGTGTTTTGTTTTGTCGTGCATAGGGTGTCTCTGAGTTGGAGGAGGTTCCAATGGCACCAAACAACAAGAAGACAGATGGCATCCCTGCGTGGGACAAATGATTAAGTGTTTGACTATTGATGGAAAGGTTGGAGGTTCAAATTTACTTAGATGTTTCTTGAAAAGCAGGTCTAGTTTTTCAACTTCAGAAAATGTCATAACCTTGAAACTCTATGACATATTTCTACTTTGAACACACAAAGTTTCCATGAGGCAGAAACAATTAAACAACAGTCAACTCCATCAACAGGAGATTAATTTGAGAGAGTGGTAAAGACTGTGGCCTCAATACCACAAAGCTCCTGGTTAACCTATGAAGTTTCAGCTTGAGAGGCAGAACACTATCTCAATGGAAAAACAATACAAGCGCAGAGAGTATTGTTACACCATAATCTACCTTTTTTTTTCTTTTGGAGGGGAAATATGCAAAATTCATACTAAAGAATCTCAAAAGCTTACTGCTGTCAAGTTGATTGTAACTCACAGTGATCCTCCATAGAGTATGTAAGACTGTAAATCACAACAGGAAGAGACTGTCTGTCTTTCTCTCTAGGACACACTGGTGGATTATTTTTTGTGATGTGCAGCGTTTTGGATTGGAAGTGCAACTTGCTGTGACCTGTGCTACAAGAACTCTCTACACAAAGTCTTATTTATCATAAAGTGATATTTAGGCCAATCTTATTGAAGAATATTGTTGTTGTTGATTTTCTTTGAATTGAGCACAACTCATAGCAACCCTATGAACAAAAGACCTGAAGCCTTTCTGTAACTATTGACATTTATCAAAGTTCTTAGAGTTTCTGGAGGCATGTAAATATTGTTAATGGTGAATGGGCCAGAATTTTCAGGGAAACACATAATGATTTTATATGCCTGTAATTTTTAATTTTCTATTTAATTTTGTTTTCAAGAATGGCAATTGCTGGTGAGTTTGGTTTGGTGCAAAGTTTAGTAACAGAATATGTTTTCCTGTCCAGATTTGTTTCTCTGCTAGGCAGCTGGTGGAGATATTTTTACAGAATAGCCATTCACCCATTTCTAAGGAAGTCTTTAAGCAAATGAGTCCAGCAATCATCCAGCAGCTTCTCAGCTGTTCTTGCGAGTTGCACAAAGACCAACAAGCAAAACCACCACCCACAACTCTGGAGAGTAAGTTTTATTTCATCAAGGTGAGGTTTGCCATTGTCTTAATGCTCTTGGGAAGCTAAATGCCCAATATACAGAGTATGCAATAATGATAGTAAACACAGGACAATTATGAAACAATGGACATTGTCCTTAGCATTTTGTATTTATCAATCCATTTGCTTCTCACAGCAACCACTATGAATGAGACGTAATTATTATCTTTATTTTACACTTGAGGAAATCAAAGTGTGAAGTGACTTGCAGGAGGATGTATGGTAAGTGATGGAGTTCATGACTGAAACTCAGGAAAACTAGTCCCACAGTCCTTGTTTTGTAACTGTAACTGTTATAATTAATTTTCAACTATTGAGCTCTAGTGTCATATTGTTGTTATTATGTGCCATTGAGTCACCTGCAACTCATAGTGACCCTCTATGTATAATAGCTCTGAATTCTGCTCTTAGACCACTCTTACTGACTCCGACACACCTAATCTCACTGCCCCAGTTACCATGTAAATCCATCTCATCCAGGGTCTTCCTCTCCTGTGCTGTCCCTCCACCTTCTGAGCATGATGTCCTTCTCCAAGGACTGGTCCCTCGTGGCCACATGCCCAAAGTATGTGAGACAGAGCTTCAAATCCTTGCCTCCAAAGAGAAACTTGATTTCACCTTCTCCAAGACAGACCTATTTTTCCTGGTGGTCCACAGTATTTTCAACAGTCCTCTCCAGCATCACAAACCAAAAGCATCAATTTTTCTTCTGTCATCCTTCATCATTGTTCAGCTATGCTGCATAGCAAGTGATTGTAAAGACCATTGCCTGGATGAGGTGCATCTTAGTCTCTAGACTGACACCATAGTGTCTAGTACTTTGTACGAAAGTATCATTAGTACTTTGGAAAGGTCCCTGATAGCAAGCAGACTTTTCCAATGCAATTCATCTTTTGATTTTCTGCATAATGTGTCAATCTGCTAATCAAAAGATTAGTGGTCCACACCCATCAGCTCCATAAGAGAAAGATGAGCAACCTCCATTTGTAATGATTTATAGCCTCGGGAACACAGTAGAGGGTTATCATGGGTTACAATTGACTTGATAGCAGTGTGGTTTTGGTTTTTTTAATTAATATTTTCCAGATAGTATATAATGTATGTAATCTGGTTTAGCTCCTTGTGTATACTCCAAAAAAATATTAATTAATATTTTCCAGATAGTATATAATGTATGTAATCTGGTTTAGCTCCTTATGTATACTCCAAAAAAAAAGTCCAGAACTGAGAAATAAGAGAAAGGACATTGCCATTGGAATCAGACAAGTAAGAAGGGCCATTGTCCCTAGCTGATCATGCGATATCTTAACCAATCCTTTTATTTCCCTGAACCTGCTTCTTTTCCCACACACAGATACTCTACCAAGTTTTCCACCCTTTCACACATTATGGGACATAGGAAGGCCTACTGGGTAATCCAGAGAGCCTGACTGGGGTGGAGGTGACCAGTCTAGAAGGTTCCAGCCACCCAGGCCCAGCTGATAGGCCCCAGAGAAGGAACCAATATTTGCCACTTGTCTATATCTCATTGAGACACTGTACTGGATGAGCTCTACGTAAGAAGTCACAGAATACTTGTGGAATTCCAATAGAATAAAAAATCCAGTAGTAGCTCATAAAAATTTTAATGTTAAAGATTAAGAAATGTGACTTAAGAATATCCAAGATACTTATAAACATGATAGTTAAAACACACTGCACTGGAATAGATGAAGGAAAGGGCTATCTGAAGGAAATAAATATATAATTAGTCATTATATGTGTGACAATTACCAGTCTGGAGTAAGACGTGAATTACAAAGGGAATTGGGGAAGGGAGATGAAGGGAAAGGAAGAAAAATGTGCATCAATGGATGAATGAAAACCCAACTTTTCTGTAAACTTTCATTAAAATAACAATTTAAAAAGCAGAATAAAAATTAAAAAATTAAGCAGAATAAGAGGGAAAAAAATACCCCAATATACCTATTCTTAAAGTCTTACCAGTGATTTGAGGTTTTGCATACATTTCAGAGCTGCTTTTCTTTCTTGTTGAAGTAATTAATAATGTCTGTCAATTGTTGGGTTGTTTAGAATCATTTCTAACTAGCGGTGAGTTCAGCAGCACCCAGTGATTCATGTGAAGGTTTTTCTGTGAACAAAAGCATAATATTTTTGTTGTTGCTGTTTGCTGTTGAGTCAGAACCAACCCCCAGCTGATGCTCCAGTGGGCTTTGGAGGTGGTAAATTGTGCAGGGGGAGATTGCTCATCCTTCATTTCTATCGTTTTGCTTCCTGATTCCTTAGGTAAGAAGAGCGTCTAAACATTTAAGGCTTCCTATTCAGAGAGGGAGAGATAACTGTATTAGAAGAGCTGCTGTTTTGTGTCCTCAAGTTAGAACTGATTCACAGCACATTTTTAGGGGCTTGTAGTAGTAGCATGGGAGAAGATTACCCATCTTCCTTGCTGGTGGATTTGAACTGCTTACCTTTGGGTTGAAAGTATGCCTCTTTACCAACTAGGCCACCGGACATCCTCAGCTTCGGGTTTCCTCAATCATCCAGCAAATTTTCTCTCACAGCTGCCATAAGTCAACTTTTCTTTCTGTCACCCAGTAAGCAAAACCTTTAACTGTGACCTTCATATCCAAGGTTCCTTTGATTACACTTTTGTCACAGTCTCTTAAATCTCTCTGCTAACATCATCACCTTATCTCACAGTGTGGAAAGTGCTCTATTATACTGGTTTCACAGCTATTAATGATTTGCAAGACCATGTGTCTTTAGTTAAGGTAGCCGGAGATCATCCCCTCCCCCCCAAAAAGGGCTAACACAATGGCTAGAAATGCCAATTTTAAAGGGTTCTGATACCCCAGACACTGAGACTTATATACACTATTGATTATACAAATAAGTTTAAGAGGTTTTGGAAGAATGTTGCACTAATTTTGTAAACAGACTTAGGTTTAGAATGAACACAGACCTTCTGCTCCCTCTGAAACAGGACTTTTCTTGCCATCAAAATGTTTGCCATTAGGTGGAAAGCTACTGCTACTGTGTATGCCAGTGGATTTTGTAACTTAATGTGAGAGGAATTGAAATTATTTGGGCTCCGGGAATTATCTGAAGTTCTTTAGAGCTGTGTCTTTCCTTGCAACAGTGATTTTTAGTACAAGTTTCAGTAATTTCAAAACAGTATGTAGGCATTTAGTGAAGTATATTCACTCTTTCTCTTAAAAATTAAAATAAGCTATATTATCCAAAATGAGCCTTAAATACAATGCTGTATCCTTATTAGTTGATATAAGTCCCTGGTGGGGCAATGGTTGTGTGGAATATTAACCACAATGTCAGTGGTCCAAGTTACTGGAGGGGCTCCTCAGAAGGCCTAGAGATCTGCTTTTAAAAGATTAAAACCTTGAAAGCTCTAGGCAGTGTGAGTCCACTTGCATATATGGGGTCATCATGACTCAGTGTCCATCAATGGCAACTGGATGAGATGTAACAGTATGATGGAGTCTTCTGATGGTGTCACTAGTTGAGACATCCACGGAGGACGAGGAGTAGTAATGGTTTTGCAATCTCCTTCTGATTTAGGATATGGCTATAGCACAGTGGCTGTGACACTCCTCACACTGGGCTCCATGCTTGGGACAACACTGATCCTTTTCAACAGCTGCGAGGAGAACTACAGGCTGATTTTACAGCTTTTTGTTGGTTTGGCAGTTGGAACACTTTCTGGGGATGCTCTGCTCCACCTTATCCCTCAGGTAATCTGCTATTTTCCACTTCAAATGTGTTTCTAGTTTCTCCTTGCATTTATGCACTGGAGACATTTATGCAAACTTCTACAGCAACTTTGATAAATACATACCGTGGCTGATGCTTCTTCAAGAGTAAGTATTATTTCCCCAAAGCCTCTTTTCACTGTTGGAGACAAAAGATGGTCTGGGTGTTAGATCTACCACATGTTATTTTTAATTTTGAAATTAAAAAAACAAATTTAAAAGGTAGAAAGATGTAGAGTTAGTTCTACTTTAAAAAATGGAAACATACTGTAATTTTATGTAAGTAGGGAAGTGATGCCTTAGTGGTAGATTTATCACCTTTCATTCAGGAAAGTCAGGCTCAATTCCCAGCTAATGCGCCTCAAGTACGTCTATCATCTATCCATTAGTGCCAAGTTGCCGTAATGCTAAATAGGCTTCAGCAGAGATTCCAGACTAAGAAATTAGGGAAAAAGGCCTAATAGTCTACTTCTGAAAATGAAAATCCTATGGCTCGCAATGACCTAGTTTGCAGTGATCAAGGGAATGATCCAGCACTAGGTGCTATTTTGTTCTCTTGTACCAGGAGTTGCCATTATTCAGAAGACCAACTTGCTGGCAGACAACAGCAATAGCATGCTAATTATCAAGAAATAAAAATGACCCCACTCTAAGACGTTGTGGGAGAAGGATAAGCAATCTCTTCCCATGTGATTAACTGCACTGTAAATCCTCCAGAGGGTCAGTTATGAATTGGCTCCAACTATATACTATACAACAAACACACATAAGACTTTGCAGCATGGTCAGCGATTGTTCTCTAGCTACTCTCCACCCTCACCAAGTCCATTCTTTGCCCTTTTCTGTACCTTCTCTGGCCCAGAAGGTTGACCTTTAAGCACTGCATCTCTTTAGCCCTATTATAGCCTAGGTTTTAGTTTTGATTTAGTCAACACTATAGAAAACCCAGAGTAAGAAGAGGGAGAGACAGGGGTATTTTCACCCCTCTTCCTGCCCTCTTTAGCACCTGCTTCTAGAAGTAGCTCCTTCCCTCTGTGGCTGCAGCTCCCACAGGATGCCCCGCTGCCACAGCTTCAGAAATCAAGGGGCTCCAGTCACATCATTTCCTCCTTTTGCCCTTTTTGTTTGAGGATCATGCTGGTTTCCTGGCCTTGATAGTCTCTGTTGTAGCCTGTCCCTGCCTAAACCTCTGTAATTGCCCAACTATTACCACCTGAATAGACCTCTCTTTGCTGACTGCCTAAGAGAGTTAGTGTTCCCTTAAGAAAAACATAAACATCAACCAGAAGGTCCTTTGTTGAAGATTTGTGAGGTTCTCCATTTGTCGGAAATAAAAATACTAAGGCCTGCCTGAGGTACAAAGAGCTCTGACAATGAGGTCTTCAAATGAGGTCTTCAAATCTTTTCCCCATGAAATCTCTTACTGAAAATAACAACAATGGGCAAATTACTTCCCCTCTCCCAAAGCCCAAGATATTAACCTTTTTCCATAAGCCTCTGGCAACTTTCTGCAGGGTCACTCTTGTTTCCTAGAGGTTCAATAATTATTGGATGCTCTGAAATCCCAAACTGAGCACTGGAGAACTAAAGCAAACCATTTCTTAGTTTTAATTTCTCTCGTAATCTAATTTTCTGGAAATGATTCAGGGTTTATTGGCTTGTGACTGTGGCAGAGGCATTTTCTAGGTCACCACCATGGTTGCAGAGCTGAATATGGCCAGTGTCCTGAGAAACAACAAAAAATGATCTCAAGGCTGCCTGGGTCACCCTGGTGGGGGCCTACACAGTCTGGGAGCAGGAAGGAGCCCCTGTGGGTGTCCTGTCAATCAGCAATGCACATCTATGCTAGAATGGTGAACTTAGATTTTCTTGGGCTTCCTGGAATCTAGAAAGTAGTTTTGTTTGACTTGAGAAAATATTTCAGGGGGGAAAAGGATAACAAGAAGAAGAGGAAAGTTGCATCACAGTGAGGGACAACCAATGTAGAGAGCTTGGCCAGTCTGTGATTCCTGAATGGAGTCCATGACAGGTTTTCAAATATCTACCCTGAAAGGAGAAAACTACCACTGTAATGACTTCTTGTTATTAACTAAACGTATTCACCTTAAAGATCTACATTTTATTCTGGGATTTCAGATAGGCTGGTTTTTCTTCTTATAATTCTTACTCTTTCTAGGGAACTCTTCTGTACTCAATGGCACATGACAACGGCTTGTGGTCTAGTGGGTAAAGGGTGGTGCTGCCAATCCAAGAGAAGGTGGTTTGAATCCACCAGCTGCCCCATGGGAGAAAGATGGGCATTCTCCTTTCATGTTATTTATAACCTCAAAAAGCCATTGGAGGGTCAGCTATGAGTTACTTTTCACTCAGTAGCAATATATGTCATCAGAGTTATACAAATGTGTGTGTGAATTTATATATATATATATATATAGAGAGAGAGAGAGAGAGAGAGAGAGTTGTTGCTGTTGTTAAGTGCCACAGAGTTGAGAGCGATTCATAGAAACCCTATATACAAAAGGCCTGAAGCCTTTCTATAACTATCATCATTTCTCAAAGTTCATATAGTTTCCAGAGGCATGTTGTTTAGGAAGTGGATGATACTTCTTCTTCCTCTTCCAAATGTGTGTGTGTGTGTGTGTGTGTGTATATATATATATATATATATCTCACATTTGTCTGTATGTATGGATACACACATATATAAATACCTATTTCTCTCCTTCTTATTGTCATTGAGTTGGAACAAACTCATAATGACCTTCCATTGGGTTTGCAAGGCTGCAAATTGCACAGGAGGAGATTGAGCATCTTCTTCCCTAGAGTTGCTAGTGGATATAAATTATCAGAAGGGTGAGACCACGCTGCATTACAAACAAAGAACTCATGCAATATTATTCAAAACGGGTGACCCTGGAAGACATTATGCTGAGTGAAATATCTCAGACACAAAAGGACAAATACTGTATAGTGCCACTGTTGACAAACAGGACTGACATCGGGGTTGGGGAAGACTGAGAAAGAGGGGATAAATAATGTATACTGCATTGAAACAGATGAGGGAGAGAACTGTTTAAAAGCAATATGTGATTAGGTATTATTGTCATGACAGGAGTCCAGAATGAAGGCTGCATAGTGGAGTGGACCTGGGGGGAGGGATTGTATAACAATAAAATAATGTTTCCTTTACTTTTCAAAGAGAAGAGTGTACTGGTTCCGGGAGGGGTGCACAGGGAGAAAGGTGCAACAATTAATAAATTTAAATATAAAATCTCTGTAAATTTTCATTAAAACTAATAATAATTTAAAAAGAGGGGGGAAAAAAAGAGCGAGGCCTTTGGGTTAGCAACACAACTCTCTACAGACTACGTAAACAGAATGTCCCGTATAAATACCAACAAACTAATATTTATGAGCATATAACATATATATTACACATTTCTTATATACATATATGCATATATGATTTCCTTTATATATATAAAGTTTAATGATCTGTAACATCCAAAATCTGGAAACCACCAATCTCTTTCACCAATTACCTTCTCAGGAGATAATATGTTATGATTTACTAGCTCATAAGAAATTATGAGACAAAACAACAGAATAAGTCAAAAGGATTAAAATTCCTAATGTACATTTTATATCCTAGAAAACGGAAAATATTGACAATAATATATTATGTACTCATAGCATATACTATGCATTTTCCATGTATTTAATCAGAAAAGTCTTTCATGTGGTTTAGTTTTCTGAACATTTATTAATGTTTACTCTACTTGCAATAGCGTGTAGAGAGAATGAACTCCTAATAAAACATATCCTTATTATTCAGGATATAAAGTATCTTGATATTATACAAGGTATTACATTGCATTATCAGATGTGGATTAAACTCTTGAAAAAACAAATCAGTTAAATGACTGATGCTATTTGAGAATATAAATCACTTACTGTAATAAACTTGTTGTGTGTCATGGAGTAAGAACCAACTCATAGCTAGCTGACCCCATTGGAAGGTTTTCAGAGGCAGTTAATTGCACAAGAGGAGACATGTCTCTCCTTGGGGTCTGAGCTAACAGTCCTGGGACTTGCCAGTCTATACAAGCATGGGATCTATTTCCTTGAAACAAATTAATTTCTTTCTTTCTAGCTATCTACCTACCTATGTACCTACCTACCTACGTACCTGCCTGCCTATCTATCTTCCTATCTACCTATCCATCCACCCTTACTGAGTTTTTTGGTTGGGTTTTTTTTTTGTTTTGTGTGTGTGTGTGTGTGTGTGTGTGTGTTTGATTTTCTTCTCTAGAGAACCCAGCCAAAGCATGCAAGCTGCTAAGACCCCAGTTGCTGCTCATACTCCCAAATTAGGATGTAGAACCCAGTCGTCTTAGACTGTATTATGCCACCTAACTTTGATGTCTCTCAGGGGTCTATGACTCCTGATAGTCACATCTTTGTCTAGTTTCTTTTCACATTGCGGCAGAGTAGCCCTGCAGGATAGAGGAGTTTTAATTATATTCACAGAAGAAGTGATGTGACACTTCTGAAGTTGTAAAACTATGTAGCATCTGTCTTGGTTTACTCTTTCTTATTATTGTATCACTTAAAATTGTAGTTAATCAGAGGGGGAAGCCTGTTAGGATGAAGCCTCACAGGAAGGTCCTGTGATTAAGAATTAATCAATCCATCGCCAGACATGGGATTAGTTTCTTTCTAGCTATCTAGCCTATCTTTCAACTTCAATCAAGTCTACAGAGAATATACCCCTAACCAACATCTTGAGATGCTACTATCATAAGACCTTTAGCCAAAATGATCTTGATTATGTCAATTCCTTCCCCTAAAAAAACTCTGTAGATGGTCTTGAGGTTAATTTGTTATGGAGCAATAAGTACTTACTTATAAAGCTCATTTTAAATATATATTTTAAAAGGAGGATCCAGGAGGGGTGGGAGAGGCTGGAAGAAAAGGGATGTGGATATACAGGGGGAGGGAGGATTAAATATTGGATCGTACAATTTGATGGGGAGAGTGAGGGAAATTGAAAGAATTTGTTCGAATTTGTATTCTAATTTTGTAAATAAACTAGTAGAAAAAAAATTTTTTAAAAGGAGATTGCCCATCTTTCTCCCACAGAGCAGTTGGTGGATTCAAACCATTTGCCTTTGGGATTGCAGCACAGTTTGTTACCACTAGAACACTGGAACTCCTTTGAAATAAACTTGGGATTCCTATTTATTCATTAGCTCGAGATGTCCACAGTTTTCCTTTGTTTCCTCTGACACACATTAAATTTGGCTCTGATGAAACTTTACATGGGGACTTGTAGTGGTGCTGCCCATAGGGAGGTGTACAGCTAAATGAGAGGCTGCCTCGACCTGGTTCTAACTCATCAGCAACTCCGCAGGGGAAAGGTGGGCATCTCCTTCCATGGCACATATAGCCTCGAAAACCCAGCAGAGACTGATGAGTTGATCCTGAAGGAAAGCAACGAGAATGAGGGTTTTGTGTAAACCATACAGTGGAATATTGAGACTCAGAGGCAAACTGGACTTTGAATGATTCCTGGGGTGGTCATGAGTTTCCCAAACTTAAAAGCAGGACATATTTTACATGACTCTGCAATCAGTCTATTTATTATTGTTTTGAGACATTTTTTGTTTGTTCTTTATAGATTCTTGGTTTGTATAAGCAAGAAGCTTCAGAATTCGGCCATTTCCATGAAAGCAAGGGCCACATTTGGAAACTGTTGGGATTAATTGGAGGCATCCATGGCTTTTTCTTAATAGAAAAATGTTTCCTTCTTTTTGTATCACCAAATACCAAGGTATATTTAAATTTACCTAAACATTGTTTTAAGATTTTATAATAGTCTTTTGTTTCTTTAAAAGCAATTGATATCTTTTTACAATGGTCAGAGGAGGGGAATAGAACTCTATTTTCCAGAATACTCTCATCAGCCTAACTAGCAGATTTGTTGCATATTTTATAAACTCCCAAGTATATAAAGAAAAGGGAAATGTGCTGTATTTATTGATGGTAATTTCTATTTTAAAGGTAATTCCATTAGAAAACACTGTGTTTTATAGTGCATTATATTTTCTTTGCTTTCCCACATTATTTGCACAAGGAAAATTAGTTAATTGCAGTATATTAAACTGGAAAATTTTTCCTGAATTCTGTAGTCCTAAAGCCTCCATGAGTCTCTACATGATTCTTCTTCTGTTTAAACAACAACTGGACACCATATACAGGATGCCTGTTCCTCAGGAAACATTAATAGTATCCCTTTAAAAGGTTAATTGTTGTTGTTATGTGCCGTCGAGTCGCCTGAGACTCATAGCGACCCTATGTACAATAGCCCTAAACTTCGCTCTGTCCTGTGCCAATCGCACGGTCTTTGACACTCCCATCCCAATTATCCCAGTCACTGAATCAATCCACCTCATATAGGGCCTTCTTCTCCTGCGCTGTCCCTCCACCCTCCCAAGAATGATGTCCCTCTCTAAGGACCAGTCT